TTCCACTAGGGCAGTTGTCAGTGTGGTATCGCTATTCGTAGGGACTTGTTGTTGCATATAATCAATTAAAATGGTGGATATTGTTGCTTATTTGCTAAACCACTCTCAGTCACTAACATTTGCCTGCCAGAATTACTGCGACAAAATTTATAAGATGCCATGGACAGCAGCATAAATGCAGAGCCGAGCAGCAAATAAGCAACAATATCCACGATTTTAATTGATTATATGCAACAAGTCCCTATGAATAGCGATACCACACTTACAACTGTAAGCCTGACGAACACGTTACTCGATACATAATAATAACATCTCTCAATGGGCCCCCCTCCCCCTCTTAAACCCAAATCACAATAATACCGAAATATTACATACAGGTTGAATCAAGAAGTAAACACTGGCCATTCAAAGGAATAAGAATGCAAACAAAACGAGGATTGAGGCAGGAAAAAAAAGGAACTTTTCAAGAATTGAAACAGAAGAAAAGAAATGGGGAACATTTTTCCGGGCAACAAATTTCCTGGGGTACGATTTTGCTGGGAACGAACTTGCGGGTACGATTTTCCGGGGAACATTTCTCCTAGAACCAAGGTCATGGTGTTGTGCAAAATTTAATAGGAAGTTTCTCCTTTGATGTGCTATCAGAGAGCATACATTAATGGCAGCTATATTGGAAGAAAGCTGGTGAGTGAGCTCCTGTTGTGCAGGAGGTGTATCTTGGGTGTTGAGTTTAGGGAGGTTATCCATTACTGAATGAGTGTGTCAAAGCCTCCAAATTCAGATAGCCCTGGTAAAACAGTCCGATTATTTCCGACTGAGTGATGAAAAATGAATCGACGTTAATGATGTTTCCGTCTTTGCCCGTCAAATTCCGATTGGCTGGTAGATAGAGTTTGGAGTTTGAAAAAATTATGAGAATTGATAGGATCAAGGGTATGTGGCCGTTATCGTCCGATTACTTTCCAAAAAAGTGGTTGATAGATCTCATATTGCTCATATAAATCTTTAATATTTATTGCTCATTTAAATATTTATATGTGTAATATGAGATCTATCAACCACTTTTTTGGAAAGTAATCGGACGTTAACGGCCACATACCCTTGTTCCCATTAATTCCCATCATTTTCTAAAACTCCAAACTCTACCTACCAGCCAATCAGAATTTAACGGGCAAAGACAGAAACATCATTAACGCCGATTCATTTTTTATCAACCAGTCGGAAATAATCGGACTGTTTTACCAGGGAGGGCTTATATTCTGGAAGTATTGATGGCAACAAGAGTTGCAAGCTCGGTAATCTTTAAGAATATTAGATTAATATCTCTCTTCAAATTATCTAACCAGCTAGGCATGGTGTTATTTTGTGATTTATACCGTTCAGAGTCAGGGGCTCTGCCAGTGCGCTGTTGAGAGAGTGAAGGCTCTGGCAATGTCGTATCCTGGGTGGTTCTCCCTGGGGTTGCATCGACAAAAGATAGATGGGGAGTGACAAGCTTGCTCAGTTGGCGATTTTTTTTCCGAGCTTTGTGCTGGTTAGCTCGGTGATTTTTTTTCCGGAGAGTGATATCACTCTTATAGTAGTCTTTGTATGGACAGGGTGTCCTTGTTGTCCAGTTAGCACATTTGAGGGTTGTTTTATGTGAACCGTTGATGATAGGGCATTTTCCTCGGTCATGAGACTGAGCACACTTAACACATTTGAATGAGAGATTGCAGTTTGAGCTCGCGTGCCCAAACCGCTGACACTTCTTACACTGGAAAATTGTTTTTTTACGAAGGTGTTCCTATCGGACTCTGTGATAAGCAAGGACTTTGATTTTCATCAGCTCGGACAGGTAGCTATCATACGTGATTTGGACTAGGAAGTGGTGATGTGGGTTCGATTTGTTGAATATAATTTTGCAGATTTTAATGATCTGCATATTTTCACATTTTAGTTCGTTAATTTCTTTAATGAGACACTCCTCGTTGAAATCTCCATTGACGCCTTTTAATACTATTGACTTGGTACGGAGAGCTTTGGGCGTGTAGGTGTAATATTTCAGGTCTTGAGATTTAAGGCAAGCTAGCGCTTTGTTGTAAATGTCTAGATTTAATAAAATTATCGTTAGTGTCATTGTCTTGCTTGGTCTGGAATGAGCCTTTGGGGAACTCCGCTGAATCAAATAGTGAGATGATGTCCTTGATGGACACATTGGAGACATGAATGGGAGGCCTGATTTTTTTATTTGGAGGAGTCTGAGTGGGACTTTCGTCGTTGAGGATTGGGTCTCCTGAGTGGTCCATTTCTTCTGTATTATCCAGCAACTTGAAGGTGTTGTTATCCTCAATGGAGTGATCGTTATAATTCCCATTTACTTTCCTTGGTTTCACAGTTTTATTGGGTTCATCCCAATCATTTCCCTCGGTTTCACTGGTCTGGGAGTTGTCATTAGGGTCAATGATTTAGGTAGCATTTATTGGGGATCTTGAAGATATAGACTGGGAACGAGGTCTGGAGTTTTTGAGCTTAGGAGTGATTTTGGATTGTGTAGGTTTGCCATACTCCTTCATCAGCTCATTAAATTGTTTGCCAATGGCTAGACTGGTGATGTTAGTCTGTTTGAATTTTGGGTTTTTTTGTATTTTTTGAGAATGATCAGCTTGTTGGTCAAACTTTCACTTTGCAGGTAAACCAGGTTTATCCTGTGTGTGATTTGGGGAGGGTATTGTAGCCTGTGATCTAGCCCCTGAGTACGCTGCAGCAGCGTTACTCAATCCGGGAGATAAATTATTGTTGAAAGAGTGGATATTGGACGGGCGGTAGAACACAATACTCGAAACAATGACTATTGTTTTCCGTTAAACACGGGTGAAGAGGTTAGGGCACGGCTTCGAGTGCAACCATTCGGTTCCGTTGCTAGCCGCGAACTCCAGGTAACGAACTTACCCATTGCGCCAAGCCATCGGGTTTGCCCGAAATTGTAAATGATTTTATCTCATAACGATCTTTCCACCGTGACAACCAACTGTTACTAGCAAAAAATTTTTCATATCCACCCATTTTCCCATTCAGTGTGAATCCTTTCCCTTGAAAAAAAGGCCCGCTAATTGCCATCCCTTTTTTTCGGCAATGAACGCTTCATCCAGTCGAGGATTCAGTGCTTCGCGGAGTCTTTAACGATCCAGATAAGATGTATTGGTAGCAAATTCATGGATTTTGTCTTTGTCTTTTTCCAAATTCTCAGCGTTAAGTGATGCACTCTCAACTCACTCTACAGAACATTTATGTTGTCTTATGTTGACGTTAATTCTCTTTTTGTTTTACTTTTTCGCTGATATTTTCTTTATTCTGACTCATTTTCTCTCTCCATTCAACCTCTTCATGACAATCTAGAAGGAACTGAATTTCATGATCGAACATTCATATTTGAAATATTTTATTTTTCGGCTTTCCTGGAATTGAGAGACAATGGCTGTTCAAAGAAAATACTGGAGTGTGGGGGGAGCGCTCGAGGGACGGGAAAATAATATGGGGAGGAATGCGACTGTAACGATGAGTGCAACGGTAACGGGAGTCTACTGAATTGGGGTGAGACCCACAACTAATGATTTTCGGGTGATGCCCATAGTGATCATATCATAAAATATTCTAGAATCTACGTGAAATACTTAAATAATATAAATAAGGAGGTAGTTAAATACTGGGATATACAACACCCCCTTTCCCATCCAAGAAATTGTAAGACGTAAGAGTTTATCGTATAGACTAATATCATCTACAATGTTATTTTTTTATAAAATATTTAAGGATGTCTGATATGTAAGAATGTCTAAGAATGATCAAAAGTACTCATTGTGAAGAATCTTTGCACCAACGTAGAATCTCCGTTTTGTAGTTGACTGGGCACCGCTAGAGAGCGCAAGATCTCGAAACTTTCCTTAAGTCAAAATGTGGGAAAGAATGCATAAGGATTCACTCACTAGCGCTCTTTCTGTCACGGAAAAAATTGTGTATTATATATCTGTTTAAAATCTGGCCTAAATTTGGGTTAGATTGTCCCCCGTCCCCATCGGCAATCCTCGACCATTGGCGAGTACGCACGAAGACGTTTGTGCGTGCCGAGATAGTCGGTACATCATCGAATCTCATCAGGAACGAATCATAGAAAATTATCCGGGCGCACATCGGCGCAATCATTGGGCATCTCATGGGTCAATTATCGAAAGTCATCATAAATCATCGGGAACTTATCGTTATATTTGTGTTTGTACAGTCCACTCCAGTACCTCAAGTATTTATTTGAACCTCATCCGGTATAATTTTCAGTGCAATTTATCGTTTTAAATACAGTGACAATCAACGAAACTCATCTTAATTTATTCTCCGGCAAACCATCCCACTTCACTTTCCCTCCCGACCTCCCTATCATCAAAATTCCATAAGATTTTTAACAATATCCTTTCTTGAAATTTCGGATTGAATTATTTTCTATATGATATTCATTAAATTTGGACCAATTTGTAATGGTTGTTCCAAAGAAAAAAAAAACTGATCATTTGAGATGAAGAAAAAGAGAAAAAGTTGAATATGCCATTTTCGTCCAGCGAATACAATGTGGACATCGGTTGAACGTCAGACGTTCTTCCAGAATATAGCAGGAAAACGTTGTCCAGACAAAATGTCAACGTCGGGCTGCCGTCAAAAGTTTCCTCATACAATGATCAAATTAGTTCTCATCGACGCTCAACCGACTTCCGTAAGCCATAATATAGATACCTTCTATATAATATCATGGCCGACTTCCGTAAGCCATGACATATTACGGACGTGCAAAAATGCAATGTGAGAACGTCGTTATGACGTCCATTTACCAGGTCTATATTGCGTCCATAATTCGTGCAATTCGCCCATCAGTTAACTGAATAGATGTGATGCATATCCATTCATTTCATTTTTATAACTTAATTTCCGTACAAAAGGTATCAGGTATAATAAAACCATTCTCCTCCATCATATTCATGGTAAACCTTGTACACATCTATTTATCTCTTTTTATACTCTTTCTCTTGTTTAGAACATGATTTATACACCGACTATTCGCTCAATAAATTTCTATGATAATTATTATTAATAAAAATATAATCAAACAATGATTTCTGGAGAGGAAAAACGTTACAGAGGATTGGTTGGGCGAATGAAGTATTCAAGAGCGTTCGACTAGATGAAAAGAAACTAAATTATGTACATTTCACATATAACAATTAAAAATTGAACGATTAAGACATAGTAATGAAACAGTCTCTTATTCTTCTTGTATAATTGTTACTTCTTTTAGTTTGCTTTGTGTAACGATAGGATGAATTTGTTATTAGCACAATTCCTCGCACATTTATCTCAAAATATATAAAATACGAGTTTTTTCAGGGCTAATTGCAATCCAATGCCCAAGGTACTTGCTGCGCTATCTTTTTTTTCTAATTTGTTTTTTCATTCTTGTTATCTCCTTATTCACATTGAATCTCTCAAAACTCTCTTGACAATAATTAATTTTTTTGTTACTTTGGTACATTGAACTAACTAAATTATTGTTCTCTATTACGATGCCGTCTCTTTGGCGCGATGACAGTGCAATTTTTATATTTAGAATAAAGAGTTTTAGAATTTTAAAAATGCATGTAGGACAAAATGCTTTAGGTATAAGTATCAAGTTTAATTTTTGCATGACAATGCATATTTAATAGACTAGAAAAATAATTTCAATCGTTTGGTTGTCCATTTATCTCACCCTTGAATTTAATTAGTTCTGTGAAAGATTTTGGTTAACTGTCATCGGCAATTGAGATTCGGCTACTTTCGGTGGTGAATTTTTTTCGGATTTAGTTGATTAGAGGACTCGGTACAGGCCATCAATTAAATATTGTTGTTTTGAGTTGAGGGAACGTTACTGTGAATATTTCGGCGCTTATTGTGCTTTGGTGCACCCGAAGAAAGATTCATTCATTGTTAATGTTTCACATATTACAAAAATAATAGAAAATTGTAGCTCATCCGTTTGAAAATTCAATTCGAGTTCTATAGCAAAGTCCATTAGTTTTTCGCCGATTCTATTGAATAATTCTGCAGATTCACAGCGCTTTTTTTTCAATGGAAACTTTTAATACAAAATATCTATTAGGAAAAATCAACTTATTCTCGCGCGCAGTTCTGCAAGTAAAGAAAAACAGAAAATTGAAGCCTGGGAATTTCTATAGAAGCAATCTCAACAAAATAAGTTATCTAAAAAGATCAAAATCTACTGATTTTTTTCATAAAATATTCTCTATTGAGCAGTTTGAAATCTTCAACTTTTGACAATCAGTTAAAAAAGATAAAAAAGTAATCATCTAAGACCGAAACTTGAGATTAAATATGAAAAAAAATCTATGCAAGGTCTCTATGCTAAAAAAAATTAAATACAAGTTTCTGGCGGATATTCTACGTTTTTCTGTGAATTGTTTTCGTACGTGTTGTTAACTATTAAGAATGGACAGTTGAATATGACAGTCAATTCAACTTCAACTTATTTACAGCTACCCACAAAAATGTTAACATCGCGATTTAACGCGAAGTGTGAACTTCGCAATGTCTCCCGAAGATCGCCGATATTTGGAAATGCCCCATACAAATGTGGCTTCCACCGTCTCACTCCTGGAGACAAGTTTAAACAATTTCAAAAAAGCATGGACAGCATGGACTATTTGTTAATAGTCGACGAGTTTACAGAAGAGAGTTTTTTCAAATGCACCGTTTGTCAATAGTCAACAGATCATGAATAGATGTAATAAGAACTCCATTCGCATACGAATTATTCACCTCTCATTCAAGTATTCACCTATCAGTACATGGATATTACTAATAATAAGAAACAAGGAGTGCAAGCGTTGAACAGAATCGTTAACTATGAATGAAACTTTTTATCAGTGTTCATTCCGTTCAATGTCATTTAGTTTTCTAATCAATTGACTTTGATGACGGTATAAATTACCATCAGTTCTACTGTTATAAGTCATGAATTCGTGATGAGTTACAGATAATGACCTTTCGTAAATTATTTTTGGAGGCTGATTTCGAGGTTCGCTGAGAGATTTAGTATAACTCATCGCAGGTTCGACCGTCCATAAGAGCACAGAAAAATAGAGCACTTTAAACTCTCTTTCCTCTTTCCTCTCCAATGTCTCCAGAAATAATGTGAAAGATTTAAGAAATTTAATTACGTTTCCAAACTTAGTTAGTCCACTTCACAAAGAGTTTGTTTTGTTTACTCGCAGCAGATATTGAATTGTTCATGATGACAGATTGTCCTTTTTGTTCTGCTCTTTCGTTCTAATTCCAAGTCTTCGTGTAGATTTCGTCATCAAGAAAAATAATGCCAATGGGTTATTTGTTATGATGAGGATGACCTGAGATAATGCGAGTTCCTCTGAATCAAAAATTAAACTCAGCTCTTGGTTTATTACATACACCGTGAAATCACGATTTGGTTGAAGAATCACATGCCTCCCGGTTTCGGAAGATTCGTGTCGTATGCTCTTATCACGTCGGTCTGCGTCACTGAACCTCCTTCCTCTTGTGAGAATGCAAATCCATCTATTTTGAAAAATGCAACAATTTAAAATGCTTGAAGACACCATTGGTTGAAAGTATTGAATAGAATGAAGGAATTGATCGAGTAAAATTAAACAAGTCTAAACGTTCACTTGAAATTATTTTCCAAATATCTCCTTTGAATCTAAGTCACCTGATCATTTCTTCTAGTAAAACTGACTCTTAAGATGATTCATTAACTAATCAATGAAATTCTGATAAATAGCCAGAGAATCGTTACAGAATATTCAGCGAATATGACGAAATGTTTTTTCAAGCCCATGAAATTTTTCAGAAGACAATACGTGCGAAAATTTTTATTGAACAATCTAGTACATGCATTGGAAGATTCTATCGACCTTTTTTGATAATTCTATTAATGATTATTAACATGAAATATTTTATGCAAAAATTCAATACATTTTGCAATTTCTATAGAGAAGGTGGGACAAAGTGGAATGTTTATCATTGACAACATCTCTGTCAAGAAACAAAGATGTCAAGATTTAAAAGTGGATCACAAACATTCCACTTCGAAATTTTTTTAATAAAAATTCTTTGGCACAGTTTTTTGTTCACGAAAATCCAATAGACCTTCCTAACGAATGCGCCAAGTGTTTCTTTTCAATTTCCACGTTCTTACAGTCTTCTGAAAAATTTATCTGAACCCTCTCGTACTCAGAATATTCCTAGAATAATCAGCAAACCGGTTTCGGCTTTTTGTTTCTCACTACCAAAATCGTCCCTTAATGGCGATTGAAATGTTGAAAATCTTTATTCTATTCAATCAACAACTCTCCTAAATCATAAAAAATGTAGAATTCATGCAGAATTAATTAACAACTTTCAATATATAAATTTTCAATTTTTGCATGTCGTGAAGCGACACTAAGCATTGTGTGTGCAACTGCCAGTGTACAAACAGTATTCATGAAATATAAAATGAAATGTAAAATGTGTAGATTCATGTATAAAATGTAATAAACGTTTTGTAAATATTGCAATCAGTAAAAAAATTACATATGTACAAGGAATTAGACTATCTTTTCGTTGGTTAAACCAATGTTTTCGATGTCTTCTCTCAGTAACATCAGCAGATACTCATTATTCTCAATCTTCAGGGGGCAATTGAACTTACGTGACAGCTCGACCTCGACATTGACTCTCGTCGTGGCGTTAGATCTCCTCATGAAAACACTTTTAACGTTTCTCAGTAGCCTGGCAGTCTCCGTCAATCTGTAAGCCGTGCATTGTGACATATATCTTTAATAAAATGTGCAGAATTGCAAATATCAAAAATTTCGATAATTCTGCGCCTCTTGGATTGACAGCTTCTCAATCCCTTATCTTCAACTCTTGAAAATTCAATGTACTCACATGAGAGGATAATGTAGCAAAATTTTGAATTTAAATGACGGAACGCAAGTTAGCATTTCCCAGCCCTGATTTATGCAATTATCTCAGAGATGAGATGAGATTCTATGAGAAAATGTCGAGGACCTTTTTTCTTTAAAATTTTGTCGGTTGCAAAAAGTCTTGTGACATTTTCTGATGGCTACAGTCATTTCTAAGATAGTTGCATAATAATTAACGAAATGGTCATGATGAGATTATTGCGTTCTGCTATTTCAATGCAAAATTCATATTCTTTCATCAACAATAACTCTGAATCTACTGAGTGAAATCCAAAAAGAGTTCAATTTCGAATTGCATTGTTTGTGCTTCAAATTGTATTTTACCGATATTCCAGTATTTTGGCCTTATTTTTTGTTGAAATCCTTTCCAACGTTTGTGATTAAACTTCAGAGCTTACATTTGAGGTTCATTTAATCTAAGGTTTTCGGACATTTTGTCATGACTTGCTTACTTAAACTTTGAATGTCTCTATTTAAATCTCTGTTTTTAACGACTATAAACTTTTTGATAACAAAAAAAATAAAGTTCGCTTTTAAGAAACATCCGTAAAATGATTCAAAGAGGAAAACTTCTGGAAATTACCATCTTTTTTCATAAATTAGTTGTAAACCATCAACAATAATTCATTTCATGCCAAGAAAATTAAGCTTTCGAATGTTCAAACAATCACTGTCATTTATTGCTAAAAACGGAATGTGTGAATAGCATATTGTGTTATTACTGCGTAAAGTTCCATTTTTTCGTACGCACGTGTAACACATGTTATTTTTTGTGACAGGGTAAACTGTCCCGTAGATGAACGTTTTTTTTAGCAATTGAAAAAAAAATTGATCGAAAAAAAATCACCATCCAGAGGTTAAAAATCACAACAGTTAGCGAAAATTCACATGTCAGTATTTTTTTGCGTAATTTCCTATCCAAAAGTAACTCATCCATCTATAGGGTAGTGTCCACCTACTGGGTAGCTTACCCTACGTGCCGAGTTCACGAGTGCGTAAAACCAATCGCTTTACGTACACTAAACCATAGTAATTTTTTACCAGATGTACTTTAAGTAACGCTGATTATTCATGAATTTTTCCAAATTCTTCTCATACAGTTTAATTGAAAAATTAAATGATTCGAAATTTCAAAATTTCAATATCCTTAAAATGAGAGCAAATTCATTGAATTTTCTCTTTATTCCAGAAGTTATTGAAGATTTATGAATATTCTGCTAGGCTTTTTCCTTAAATAATTTATGTATTATTTGGATCGAAAAAATAATTGAAGAAAAATACACAAAAATTATCAAAAAGTGAGATAAGGAAGAAAGTATGTCATCGCCGTGTTCTATAAAAATGAATAGACAATTACACAGAACAGAATAAATGTTGATGTTTTGTTCATGCAAAGCAATTCATTCGAGTCGAGTGCGCAGTGTAAGCGTCAGAAGCAACAGGTGGAGATAATAAATACGAAACTCTTGCTAAAGAGCCTAGCTAACTGACGGTACTAATTACCAAGGAAAGACTGAGTTATCAAACCTACTAGGATGGGGGGTACTTACACCTCGCGAGGTCGGCGATCGCATGCACAGGCCTGTACGAAGTACGACGACTTTTAAAAGTAACCAAAATACAAACGTCATGTTAACACTTTATTATGAATCAACCTAGAATGTTCGGGCGTCCACGGACCATCTATGATTCTGAGTTAATTCGTCATTTTTATGAATCATTTGTTTCTTATTAAATAGCACACCCTATACATCAATAAAAATATTAGAAAACGATTTAATAATGAAGTGGTATAGGAAACAGAAAATCAATCTAACATCGAGCCTACAGATTATTTTTCTCATATTTCGTGAAGAAACAAGGTAAGAAGAACTCTAATTAAGAAACATCCTTCGTAGAGAATTTTAAAAAATTTTGAGGAAAAATTATTAGGATGAAATTCTTTACCTTTCTCTATTACTTATTGGTTAATGATTAATTATCCCAATAATCAGTAGTTTTATTAAAATTCATCAAAAGATCTATCTTTGTAAAAATCTAGAGGACTGAAAGTCTCTTGATATTTTTTGTTCAACGAAGTTTGCTATCGATTTAAAATCCATAAATCTCTATTTATGACAAAAGACAGAGGAGGCTATGCCTGTACCGCTCGCTTAAGGGAAAAGACAATTTCACATCTTAAGAATAATCGGGCGAGCTGGGAGGATTGGAAAAAAAGCAGCCATTTTTTTCTTTTTTTTTTACGTATTTTTTAAAAAATGAAAAAAGCGTGTGCAAAGTTTCAGACTGCTGGGGAGCATGGTTAATGTATTATGAATTTTTGAAAAAGTGGTCATTTATCCCGTGACCCTAGCGGACTGACTTCAGAGTTGAACTCTTGAATATTTCCATGATTTCAGAGAAAGTTCAGAGTTCGGTCAGAGTTGGGGTTATGTCGGATTCTAGGGGTATCTCTGAACTCTTAATAGTCTTCAGAGTTAAGAGTCCAGTATTTTTATTGTTGATCATTATTTATTTTGTTATGGGGACGGCAGGGGGGGGGGGTTTACATGTGTTCGTTTCTGGGGGGGGTTACATGTTCTCTCTGAACTCTTACCTGCCGTCAGAGTTAAGAGTTCAGTTTTTTTATGTTTAATCATTATTTTTTTATTTCTGGGGTGGGGCGGGGGGGTTTGCATGTGTTCTCTGAATTCTTACCTGCCGCCAGAGTTAACAGTTCAGTTTTTTTTATTGTTGATTATTATTTATTCATTTCTGGGGAGGGGGAGGGTCACATGTGTTCTCTGAACTCTTACCTGCCGTTAGAGTTAAGAGTTCAGTTTTTTTATTGTTAAGAATTATTTATTGATTTCTGGGGAGGGGAGGGGGGGTTTGCGTGTGTTCTATGAACTCTTACCTGCCGCCAGAGTTAAGAGTTCATGTTTTTTATTGTTGATTATTATTTATTTATTTCTGGGGGGAGGGTTACATGTTTTCTCTGAACTTTTACCTGCCGTCAGAGTTAAGAGTTCAGTTTTTTTATTGTTAAGAATTATTTATTGATTTCTGGGGAGGGGAGGGGGGGTTTGCGTGTGTTCTATGAACTCTTACCTGCCGCCAGAGTTAAGAGTTCATGTTTTTTATTGTTGATTATTATTTATTTATTTCTGGGGGGAGGGTTACATGTTTTCTCTGAACTTTTACCTGCCGTCAGAGTTAAGAGTTTAGTTTTTTTATTGTTAATCATTATTTATTGATTTCTGGGGTGGGGCGGGAGGGTTCGCATGTGTTCTCTGAACTCTTACCGGCCGGCAGAGTTGAGTTCAGTATTTTTATTGTTGATTATTATTTATTTATTTCTGGGGGGAGGGTTACATGTTTTCTCTGAACTTTTACCTGCCGTCAGAGTTAAGAGTTTAGTTTTTTTATTGTTAATCATTATTTATTGATTTCTGGGGTGGGGCGGGAGGGTTCGCATGTGTTCTCTGAACTCTTACCGGCCGGCAGAGTTGAGTTCAGTATTTTTATTGTTGATTATTATTTATTTATTTCTGGGGAGGGGAGGGGAGGTTTACATGTGTTCTCTGAACTCTTACCTGCCGTCAGAGT